CCACACAGAGACTTCAGTGAACCAATGAAGAGAATAAATAATTAGATGAATAATCGAATCAGAGTTTTGAATCAATGAATCAATTCACAACACAGGTGGTGTGTTCAACTTGAAGCGGTGCATCGTAGACTGATCGGTGTACAGTAAGATATCAAAGTACCGTGAGAGCGATAATTGAATGAATAACTGAATCAGAATTTTGAATCAATTAATAAATTCAACACACAGAGACTTCAGTAAACAATGATGTGAATGAATCTTTGAATCAGAGTTTGGAAACAATTCATTGAAATGGACAGTTTGAACTTATTAATGAAAATGAAAATATTGAACAAATAAAGACACTATTAAAACATCTCTATCTCAAACCCCTCAAATTCACGCTTTTAAGGAAATGTACCCGTCAAATAAAATCATTTAAAAAATACAATATTCACAATGTTGCTACATTTTTATATCGCAGGAAAAATCATTGAGCATATATTGCGAATATTCAATATGCACTAAATGTTGAAATCTGTTCTGGCAGACCATGTTAATTTTATCCTAATTTTAGCTCAGATGAAATTGCTCAGCCTGATGAAGAATGAGATCAGATATCTGCTCATTAAAGTCAAATTGATTTTATCAGACGTTTCTTTGCATCTCATGATCTGTCTTCAGTAAGATCATCCGATAGAGGAAGATTATGCTTTCATCAATGCAAACTCACACATTTCTCAAAGACCCTCCTTATCATCAGACTTTTGAGAAATAACAGTCTGTGCAACAGCTTCATTATGATTATGTGCAAATAATAGGACACAATCGTCTCTCAACAAACACTTATCCTGTCATTATTTACCTTAAAAAAAGTATTATTTTATGTCACACAGTGGGTTTGTGTGTGAGTTTTGATTTCTAGTTAATTATTCCTTTATGGAAACTCTGAATTCTCATGCGGTGCAATTCTGAAATTGTAAAAAGACCACTAAAGTGTTTTTCACGTTTCCTCAAGGCCTCAGAGACTTTAATTGGAAAGAGTTTCATCATTAGCAGAATATTCCGGATGCTCTGCATGAGAATGAGGCGTCTGGTTTACGCAAACGCTTCATTAGCATTCACAGGCTCTGACAGAAAACACAGGCTTCATTTCACAAATGAAACAATCATTGCCAGAGCGAGACATTGTGCATTCTCTGACATTAGATTAATTGTTTAATAAAAGAGTAAATCCTTGCCTCGCCGCGTGATCGATATGAGCGTTTTAAATTGGATGCTACTGTTAATGTGTCATTAGACAGAAAAGCTCCAGCATTAATCCTTCCTTTTTATGCAAACTCCATTCAAACCTCCAGCAAAAAAATGCTTTTAAAAATATATGTAAATGTATATTTTACACATAGAATATATTATATGTATATATATATAAATAATAATAAATAAAACATTTCATTGAGCTTCCCTGTTTTCAACATATATTTAAAATATATTTTGTCTGTATGAGAGAAACCATTTTCACTCAGAAATTGCTTGTAAATTTCACAAACAGTACAAAGAAATGGCAAGCAACATTGATTTAAAAGTGACATTTTACATAGAAATTGTATATTCTTGTAAAACATACTCCAATAACACTTTAAAATAAAACAAAATCAGTTTTTACAGTGCATAGTCTCTTGATAGCAACCTGTAAGCAATAGCATTTTCATGGCCATAATGTGATCACATCCTTCAATTTCTTGTGCATGTTTTCATAACAAGCACTGTTTTCGAGATGCATTATGGCCTCTAACATATCATGATCCCAAACTACATAGAAACACACTCCATAAACTAGATTTCTCTGGAAGATATGTATAGCATATGAACAACGGTTTTATTGCCTGTAATCACACAAAAATCTGTGTCCTGAAACATATGATCAAGGTTACAGAAGGAAACAACAAAGCATTGTGTCAGCGATGGCTCAACCATCTCTCAGCCTGATTTAATATTTATAGAACAGGCAAACGTACTTCCAGAATCTGCAGGGACTCCGTCTTTGGAGCGTTCAGAGACACGTCTGCGCTTCTAGACTCACATAAAAATAATTAAATGTGAACATGTCCGGGCCTGCATGCAATACAAACGACATGTGACACGCAGCACCGCCAAACCAGATACTCATCTTTTGTACCCCAGACATAATAAATGCCCTCAACATATATATAAGGATGGGTTATTCGAGGAAGACAATACAAGAAGCAAGTTTTTAAGAAACAGTTCATCTAGAAATTTAAATTGGCTGAAAATGGACTCTCCCTCAAGCCATTCAAGATGTAGATGAGTTTGTTTCTTCATCAGATTTGGAGAAATGTAGCACTGCATCACTTGCTCACCAATGGATGCTCTGCAGTGAATGGGTGCCGTCAGAATGAGAGTCCAAACAGCTGATAAAAACATCACAGTAATCCACAAGTAATCCACACCACTCCAGTCCACCAGTTAATGTCTTGAGAAGCCAAAAACTGTGTGTTTGTAAGAAACAAATGCATCATTAAGCTGGTTTTAACTTCAAACCGTTGCTTCCTGCAAAATATGATAACGCTACTCCAGTGAAAAAGTCATCTTGTCTGAATCAGGAGAGAAATACACACCGTTTATAAGCAAAAGCAGTTCAAAATAGTTCTAAACAATTAATTTGATGTGAGAGGACAACAGGAGAAGGACTTTTTAACTGCAGGAAGCATTATTATGGAATATGGATTCGTTTTTTGGCCAGAAGCAACTGTTTAAATTTAAAACATCTCAATGATGGAACAAATTAATGATCTGTTTCTTACAAACACACATCTTTTTGCTTCACAAGAAATTAATTGGGTGGATTACTTGTGGATTATTGTGATGTTTTCATCAGCTGTTTGGACTCTCATTCTGACGGCACCCATTCACTGCAGAGGATCCATTGGTGAGCAAGTGATGCAGTGCTACATTTCTCCAAATCTGATGAAGAAACAAACTCATCTACATCTTGGACGACATGAGAGTGAGTACATTTTCAACACAATTTCATTTTTGGGTGAACTATTTCACAATTAATTATAAAGAAACAGCAAGTAACACGTTGAATTAAACGTGAAATGTAGAAGTAGAACAACTGAAATAGTATTTTCTAGTAAAACCTACTCCAATAATATTCAACTTTGAAAAATCTTTTTTTTTTTTCAGTGTATGTGGCTTGTATTCTCTGACTTCCTTTAGCAAAAGCCCTGATCAAAACAGTGAATGTCTCAACTACCAAGGACACAGTTAGGAGCACTAACACTAATAATTGAGCTCAAAGCTTTGAGTATGAGGTTTGAATACTGTCTGAAATAAACCGATTCAAAACTCCAAACTGGAGCTGGTAGGTTACACTCTTTGTAAGGACAGTAATGCTTGAGGATCCGTCTGTCCCTGCGAGGACGTGTCGACCTGTCAATGCTTTCACAGCTCATTTTAAAAATTACCCTGAATCTCTCAAGTTTTTGAGCGCTTTTGTTTCTTAAATATTCACCCTTGGGAGTTATTATGAATTTTGAGCCCATCTTAAATTAGACACTGTTTGATTTAGTGTTTCATTTGAAGAAGGGAACACAAGTACTGAACATCACAGCACCTCAAGACATGTTTCATCATTATTCTCATAATCCTCAAATATTTACAAGGTTGAAAACGCAATAACATTGAAGATGATGAATATGCATCAATTGATTAAGAAATCACATATAAATATATCTATGGAAAACTGTGAAGATGTGACCTGTAATATAATAATGAATTCTGGGTTTTCTGCTGCAATAAACCAAATGTGAGAACATCATAAAACTGAGAACATGAAAACATAAAACAGCAAGTATTATTTGAACAAAAAAAGCAACCACAAGCACACTTTATAAACAAAACATTTGACAAAAACTATTGTGACACTGCGACTCTAACATCCATACAACTTGCTTTGATACTTAATACTACTAGTTTCAGACTTTATTTTAGTATTTTACTATCATATTATTACAGGTTTTATTCATATTTTGAATTAGTTTTTATTTTCATAATTTGCATTTTCATTTTAGTCAATTTTAGTACTTTTGTTTTTGGCATTTCTATTTTTTATGTCTATATACAGTAGTTCCTATTAATTTTATTTCAGATTTAGTTTGTTATTTTAATGAAAATAAAACTAGCTGAAATAAAAAGTTTAAATATATATATATATATATATTATATATATTATTATATTTCAAGCAAGCTTGCAAATTGATTACAAATCATTAAATCCACTTCAAATATTTACAATTATTCCTTAAGCTCAACATCCTCCAACAGATCTGACCGTGTTTGCCTCTCAGAAATGTGAATCATGATGTGGCACAATCATTTTAGCAGCTCACCACTTGTCACAGCTTAAACCGCCTTAAAAATACATCCAATTTGTGGTCCCGTTTTAGACACGGCGCAATGGTAATAGAAGTCCACACTTCAGATGAAAAGGGACAACAGATGCCAGTGTCAGAGATTTGATGGTGCTTTTCAGTGAACCCGTGACAAACCGTGTTTCGTCTCCCTTCAGACGCTTTTGTTTTCATTTCAGTTCTCTTAGATTTGGCCTCTTGTCAAAATTCGGCCCTTGTTTTATTTATGACCCCCTACTTTGCATCACGGCGCCAGAGAATTGCCACTGGATGCAAAATTGACACCATGCATGCATTTTTTTCACCTAAAACAGAAATAAATTATCAGTGCATGTTTTTTGTGGTTTTGATGATATTGTTGGCTTTGTATGTTACATTTTAATGAATGCATAATTACTCAAATGTTAATTCATGCACATCACTGTCAAAAGGAAGCACAATTTTTTTTAGGTCTTAAGCCTTAGAAGTGCATCTTAAAATACCCCCTATGTAGGCAGCTCAGTAGGTTTTGGAACAGAGGCGAAAAAATGGTCTATGCATTGGAATAACAGTGTAAATGAATCTTTTATTTCATTTTCTCTACATCATGCATTTACAATGTGATGTACCATTGGTCCTCCTCCAGTTTTACGTCTTCAAGGTATGTCACACTTTTGAGCAGAAGTCAGTTTCATGTATACCAAGCAAAAAATGGTACACAAAGATAAAGAAATTACCTTAAAAAAAAAAAACCTAACTAACATAGGAAGCCGCAACTCTCCTCTACTTTTTTCCAATAAAAGCCCTTTCACATGATTCACGTTCGGTTCCCCAATGCATCAAAATCAATGCAGCGAAGCGTCAAACTACAGCATTAAACCGCGTCCTGAGCAGGTGCAATAAGTTTCTAACAGCAAGTAGTTTTTCTGTCCTCACTGAATGCAAAAATGCAGTGCAATGAGACACAATCCCAGGCATTAAAGATTGTATTTGAAAAACAAGATGGACGATAGACTGATGTGCATATCTGGATCTGGAACATTGAATGCATATCATGACATTCAGAGAAAAAGTTAGACTTGCCTTTGTTTCCTTTCTCCAATGCATCTTATCAAACGCTAGGACCTTCTGTTCTAAGATCAGATATTTTCACTATTTCCACAGTTCATGCTTTTTTGCAACCTTGTCAAATCGGCCTTCAGCAAAACAATCAGCAAAGCTTTTCACGTGGAGGCCAGAACATCGCACAGCATTGAAGCCGTGACACAAATCATGTGAAAAGGCCTTAAGAAAACAGGAAGAACAACGTCACGTATCAGTGTCACTCTAGAAGACCTCCAGTACTTCATTAACTTCATTCGGATTTTCCAGCATCTTTGTGCAGTAAAAACATCCCGCTTGAGGCCAAGTAAACTCGAGTTAGGCGAGACCGAACGAAACGTTTCAAAGCAAAGTTATCGGTAGCTGGAAGAATGACAGACTTATAGACGAGTATTTCAGGCACTTAGAAAATCTCTCCCCCGTGTCCTTGGCTACAGCGTGCTTCACTGTGGAGTCTGCATTGAGAAACGGCTTTCTTTCCCAGCACAATACAGCGTGTAGTACAACCGCAGTTAGACAAGGCAAAAGACTATATAAGTACATTCAAACACGATTCTTTAAAGGGATTTCAGGTACCTTCCTACGCAAACGACAAGCTCTTTATCTACAGTGAAGTCGGGTTAGCGTTCTCCTAATGCTCTTCTAAAGTTCTCCTAATGTTTCTGATGGACCGATGTTAAAGCCACGATCAAACGTCATTATTATAACGGCACCAACTTTGGAATTTAATTACCGTTTAAAAAGTTTTTTTTTTAAAAAAGCACTTCACTGGATACACAACAATGAAGTTACAATAAAGAAACAATGCTCATTCCACTCACAAAACTACCATAGTATTTCCAATTAGTGGATATGTTACTAATAATATACTGATGGCAATTTTATCCCCAATGATCAATGCTTTACATTTTAAATTTTGCCCCCCAATCTTGAATATATATGGTTGCATGTTTTGGTACCATGTTTTTTGGACACTAACATGGTATCAAAAACTACATTAGTATTTCCAATTTGTGCACAGGGGACTAATATTCTGACTGGCAATTTTTCCCCAATGATCAATGCTTTACATTTTACATTTAGTCCCCCATTTTTATTATATATGGTTGCATCCATCATAATACCATGTTTTGGACAATACCATTGAATTAAAAACTACATTAGTATTTCCAATTTGTGGATGGTACTAATATATTCTGATTTTATTCCCAATGATCAGTGCTCTACATTTTACATTTGGTTCCCCTATCTTGAATATGGTTGAATCCTTCATAATACCATTTGTTTTGGACATTACTATGGTACGAACCACTTTTGGACATGGTAATCATGGAAATACCACAGTATATTTGGATCAAGTGAATGCAATGATATATGAAAGCCATCTGAAACTTACTATATCATGGTACCACCACAATCCATTTTCATAAGGGCCCTGATTTCCTCCAGAACTTGTTCCCAGCATCCTGTTTTCCATTTCCTCTCTTCTCCTGCCGTCTTTCTATCCTCTAGCTCTCCCCAGGGCTTTGCTTTGCTGGACTCGGCAGTCAGCCGTAAGAATAAGACCAGTAACAGAGTGACAGCTGTAATTTTCTGCTTGCGACCGGCCTGAATTACTGTGCACACACAATAATATCACTGAGCGCTAATGGCCCTACCGCCACAGTGCAAGGGGAAGCTGAAGTTCCCCATCAGGATGTATATTTTCTGTCCTGGACGTCAAGAGTTTGGATTCAGGGATGGAACCTTACGTTTACGAAAACACACTGGCCATCTCGTAGACTACACGATGACTAACACAGGGCTCGGGAGCCTCTTTTTACGCACGGTGAGTTACGACATCGACAAAGAGCCTCACAAGTAACATTACCGACAAAAGACTCGGATGGAGGTATCGACTACGTCCCTCGACTACAGTTCCGAGAATCACGTGACAAGCACCACACCAGCACTGCTGTGCTCTACGACTCAACGATTCACAATTTAATGTGCACGAGTTTTAACGCAAAAACAAACCGAAAAATGCACAGGATTACAATAACAGTTTTAGAATGTTGGAAGAAATGTCCCGTCGTTTCACTAATAAAGGGTACACCACGCCTTTAAAAGGCCGCAAAATGATTCGCGATTGTAGCTAATGTGCACATGCCTGGATTATCGTTTGTCTTACAAAACTTGGTAGCATCAAAACATCGTAGGGTTTTTACAAATCATTGGAGTCTATCAACATTTGCACCTGAGATTTGAATTCTCAAAATACCTGTACTGGTCATTAGCGCCGCTTAATGATCTGTTCCATCTAGTTAAAAAAAAAGCCTGAAAACAAGTTCTCGCTCTAAAGGTGGGATTGGACCACGTTTAAAAGGACAACTTTGCGATTGTTTTAATGCCACCTGGACGTTGCGCTTAAAAGACTCTCTCTCTCGTAAGGACAAAGTGTTGGGAGTGTATCACAAATTGTTCTAAATACATACTCAGAAACAGGAAAGCACATTGGAAAAAGAGAAGACAGGTGTAGTACGCTAGACGACATTTACGATTCGTGTCAGATTAATCAACATCCTGGTTTAAGGCCGTTCACGCCAAGAATGATAACTATACCGATAACCATATTAGCATCCACACCAACGATAACGTTCTGTATATTATAAGGGCGCGCTGCAGTTTTGAATGCTCAAGCTCTTTAAAGCCGGATGGGTTCTGATTGCCTGTAGATGCTTTTATCATTCACCTGGAAAACACTGTTCTAACAATATAGCTCCTCAATGCCGTTATCGTTGTAGCTGTGGTGCGAACTTCCATGTTCTCTTATAGTTAGCGTTATAGTTAGCATTCTTGGTGTGAACGGGCCTTTAGTCTCTGGGATCGTGTGAACTTTGTAACGTCACACGACCGTGCTGATGTCCTCCGGATCGTCTGGTTTCTTGGGCTTGCTAGGAAGCGATTTCAGGTACTCAAGGTGTCGTCTTGCATCTTCTTGGTTCTGCCGTACATAGTAGACAACATAAGAGATAACCATCGCGAACCAGCCAAACATGGTCACCAACATGGCGTAGTCGGTGGTCCGCTTGGCCAGGTTGCACAAGTCTGCATCCACGGCCAGGAATGGCTGGCCCTCTTGGTCCCTCAGCTCTGAACTACGGCACAGCACGCGTGTGGCAGCCTCATGGTTGTGCGCCATGCCACCCAGCGCCTGCTGCAGGGCGCAGTCGCAATGCCAAGGGTTGTTGTCCACCATCACACGTGCCTTCAGCCGTGCGAACGCGTCCTTGTGCACGCTAGTGATTCGGTTGTGGGAAAGGTCCAGCACTTCCAGAGAGCCCTCCAATCCGACGAACGCCCCCTCACCGAGGGTTTCCACTGCATTATGGGAGAGATTGAGCCTCCGAAGCATCCTCAAGCCATGAAATATGCGATCGGGCACCAGAGATATGTGGTTTCGGTCCAGCTGCAGCAGCTGGGTGTCTGGGGGGACGTCGGGCGGGATCTCCTTCAAGCGTGACAGACTACAGGTGACGTTGAGGCCGTGCGGAGGGCTTTCGGAGCGCTGACAGGTGCAACCCTTGGGACAGGTGCTGGCAGACGGAAAGCACAGGACCATGAGCACCAGGCTCTGCAGCAGCAGACACATGGGGATGGAGCGCGAAAGCCACAGGTCCAACGGCGTCATGCTGACAGGCAGTCAACATACTGGACGCCCGGGCCATTCACGGGAGCCCCATAGCGGGACCGCGTCATCACCAAGAGCCGTGGGTCTCGTCAACTCTCATCGTCTGTTTGAGCCTGCGGAGGAAGAAGACACGGTGAACGCATACGCTAACAAGTCGACAAGCTAATTTATGGGTGGGAATGATACCTCTCCTCCAACTCTCGAACAGAATGTGCCACTGAACACAGGGAACATACAGACCTCAGAGAGGCTTGTCAGAGAAACTGACATCAGTGTAACACTAAGCGCTATGTGGCTTACTAAAGTCTAAGCAAAATCTACTGACAGCTTTGTCAATGGATAATGTATGTACAATTTCCGTTTTTATGTTTTAGTGAATTCTGAGTAAATATAATGAAAATAACTGTTTGCTTATATCAGGAAATCGGTGCACATCTGAGTTATATATAGATATATATATAGGCTGCATTTATTTGATCATAACAGTAATATTGTGAAACATTATTACAATTTAAAAGAACAGTGTTCTATTCAAATATATTTTAAAATGTAATAGTAAAATGTGCCGTTCAAGAAACATTTCTGACTATTAACAATGTCGAAAACAGTTGTGCTAACACGTGATCCATGTATTTTTTTCTGGATTTTCTTTTTTGATGAATAGAAAGTTCAAAAGAATAGAATTTATTTGAAATAGAAATCATTTATAACATTACAAATGTCTTTAGTATCACTTTTGATCAATTTAATGCGTCTTTGCTGATACACAAACACACACACACACACACACATA